AGCAGAGACATCACCTTGCTGACAAAGGTCCGCATAGTCAAAGCTATGGTTTTTCCAATAGCGATGTATGGAAGTGAGAGCTGGACCATAAAGGCTGACCACTGAAGAATTGATGCTTTTGAATTGTGGTGCTGGAGGAGACTCTTGAGAGTCCCCTGGACTGCAAGGAGATCAAACCTATCCTGGACTGCAAGGAGATCAAACCTATCCGTTCTGAAGGAACGCTGAATGCTCACTGGAAGGACAGATCCTGAAGCTGAGGCTCCAATACTTTGGCCATCTCATGAGGAGACTCCCTGGCAAAGACCCTGATGTTGTGAAAGTGTGAGGGCAAGAGGAGAAAAGGATGGCAGAAGACGAGATGGTTGGACAGTGTTATCGAAGCTACGAACATGAATTTGGCCCAACTCCGGGAGGCAGTGGAAGACAGGAGGGCCTGGCGTGCTCTGGTCCATGGGGTCATGAAGAGTCAGACACAACTTAACCACTAAACAACAACAATACTCTTTACACTGAAATAATTATTTGTATGAATTTGTACCCTGCCCATTTAGTGGACAAGCCAGTACTCTAGGCAGCTTCCAGGAAAATAACACACAAAATAATTAAAGGGTAGAAAATTGAGAATATAAAAACAAAAACTTGTGGGCCGGAATAAACTCAGTACAAATTAATATTCAGGATTGCTCTGCATTTTGTTTGACATTTTAAAAATTCATTATGTTATTCATGTGATCAGCAAATCAGAATTTCTCTAAACAACTGTGTTTAATTTCTCTACTGATAGGATTGTTGTGGCCTGCACTGCTTGGAAATCACGCCTGGAGACAGATGCAGAAAACCTGTGTAAGAATCTCTTCCAGTCTTTTCAGGACATGGTCAAATTAATGGCAACAGCTCAACTGTAGAGCAGATACTGGACTGAAAATCTAGTGCCTTTGTTCCATTGTGCATTACTCTAGTTCCTGAAGATTTGAAAGTGAAGATATTAGCCAAAGGGAGTGTTGTAATTGGTCAGAAGACTTCATGATAGTTTGCCATATACTGTATGCTAGGCAGAAATAATGCAACCTCTTTTTAAAATGAGATTTACTGCAATAACAATGCAATTTTCCTTAATTAAGTTTGCAGTAGCAATGCAAATCATGACAAATCTTCTAGTAGAAACTATGCAATGTTAAACTAAGCCTCATCAATGCAAGCAGTGGGAGTTTAATAGATTTTTTTTGTTAAGACTAACTTGTATTTCTAATGTTCCTTATGATAGAAGGTATGAGAAGATTGAATTTGGATGACACTAGTTTTTTCAATGGTACAGATTCAGCCGTCATTGCAGGGATAATGCATAATGACTCCTTTCTAGATGGGATGTGTATTGTGGATTTTTTAGAAGTATTTGAAATTACTGTTCAATGTGTATTGCACCTGATATTCTCTGTCTTATGCAATGGGATTGTAGAAACTCACAAGCTTTATAAAAATATAAAAGGACAGAATGCAATGACTTGAGAAACTTGTTTTTACATTCCAAACAAAGAACAGATATTGTAACAATACTTGAAAATATACAAAACATAATGTGATTAGAAACTATCTTGACAATGTTATTTCATATGTATAATTCTCAGGATTCTAAACCTCTTTGGTATCTTAGAAGGGGGACTTTGTTTTATCAGCTATGTCATTTCTTCCCTTTGAAATAAAACCACTACAAAGAGCAGCAGGTGTTGACATACTTGATTTGTACATCAGTTGCAGCAAAATACTTTAGAGACAACGTTTTCTCATTTAAAAAAAACATGCTTTATAAATAAATTCAAAGTCAAACATGTCAGCATAAAATTAACTAAAAGTTTTCTGACTTTGCTCTTGGAAAATAGTACTGCCAGCTGTGATGAACACCAGCTTCTGATTTTTTTCTTAAGGTTCATAAAAGTCTATAGGGCTCTTAGGAGATATTCAAGCATCAGACTTTCTGACCTGACATACAGTAGGTGCGAAGTCTAATTCCGAGATTGCATGTTGGACTTCAGCCCATCATTACCACCAGCTTATTTTGTTTGACTGAGATGGTATAAACAAAACCTTTTGTAAATGCCCATTTGTAAAAAAAAATGAATTAAGAGCTCAACAGTGTCCACTTCTTAATTGGCAGGTTGTCCCGTCTGAATGTTGACTAGAGAGTAATAGATTCCTCTGGCAGCCAGCAGCTGCTGATGTGTTCCTTGTTCTATGACTTTCCCATTCTGGATCACTGCTATGCTGTCAGCATTCTGCACTGTAGATAAGCGATGAGCTATTACAATGCAAGTGCGGCCTTGTCTGGCTTTATCTAGAGCCTCCTGGACAACCTATTGAAAAGAGAATGGGAGATGATTGTCCTGTGAAAAGTCCTCCTATTTATTACAATCTATCTTTGAAAAAGAGAAAAACAACTTTTCATTTAATGTACGTTTTCAATTTTTGAATGATGAACACTCATAAAAGAATGAAGACTCTTGAAACATCATCAGATACAAGCAAATGTATACAATACCGAGACTGAACACACTGGCCAGGAATCATAGTAGATGTACTACAATACATCTAAAGCAGTGGCTCCCAACTTTGGGTAATCCATTGTTCTTGGACTGCAACTCCCAGAAACCTTCACTTAAAGTTGGGAACCACAGATCTAAAGGACAGGAGGTTCAGGAAGGCTGCCTTACAGCAGAATGGGGAATATGTGGCCCTTCAAGAGTTATTGGACTACAGCTCTTTTCTGCCCTCCCCACTGGTTATGATGCTCGGAGCTAATATATTCAGTCAGCCTAACTGGCAGTAGCTTTCTCGGTAGTAGTCTTTCCCAGTAGCTCCTGGGAATGGAATGTAGGCTCTTCTACCTACAAAGCATGATATGCTATAATACCGAAGCCAAGCCGATTAGGTGCTTACACCAGCAGTATACCAAAGATAAGTGAAAACAGTTACCTTTTCACTTTCTGTATCAAGCGCAGAAGTGGCTTCATCCAGTAGGAGAATTCTTGGCTTGCGGATTAGAGCACGAGCGATAGCAATGCGTTGCTTTTGGCCGCCAGAGAGCTGGGCCCCTTTGTCACCCACAGATGTGTTGTATTTCTATGGATAAAAATCAGTTCATAAATGCACCCAGACAATGATGGCAATCCCATTAGGTACACTGCAGTGCAGTAAGACTTGTTAACAATTCCAACATTTCTGAAGTCTATGTTTATTTGATTAAGGTAAGGGTCAGCGATACATTTATTGGACTACTAAAAATCACAAATATCTTCTTTGGATTGTGTACAAAGACCAGACTACTTCTCTTTTCTATTGATCTGATGTAGTATTTGATCTTCTGGTCTTGGGTTATAGCAGCACTGGTCAGAGACGAGTGTAATGCCAATTATTCAGTGGCTAGGAGTATGATTTCATCTGCATTGTACATGCCAGCAATTTCCAAAACAGAGGAAGACCACAAATTGTCTCTTTACTGGCTTAGTAAGAGACCACATCCAATAAACATGAACAGTTGAACAGCAACTCTTTGGTGGCAGGGGGTGAGACATATAAATCGTGAGACATATAACCATATAAACATTATTATTATCTGTGGTATGCTGTGATGTAAATATCAGTGCAAATCCAATGTAAACAAAATGATAAGAAATAAATAGACTCAAATAGCCAGGCCTTCTGCAGAATGTCAATAAAGGTTGGTCAGAATAAGAATGAGGCTCTTAAAGTTTTAATTTGTAAACTGTCCAGATTAGTATTTCCACTAAAGGGGCAGTATATAAATCAAATTAATTTAAAAAAATTATGAAACCACTGCTTATGAACTTATTTGGGGCTGCATGAATCCAGATAAGAACAGAATGAATGTGAACCGGACCTGTAACCAGATTAAACAATTGTAATCAGTCATCTAAATTTAAATTTAATTAAATTCATGCATGCATGAAAAAATGCTAGTATTTCTGATGGGAGAAGCCTGCTTTTCGTTGTATAGCAGGCATGCTGGAAAAGCATTTCCTTCCCCATGAAGTTAGACAGCGAAGTTCAGTCATGCAGGCCTCTACGCTGTTCACTAGGCACCCACAGCTACACCCACAAGGAGCTGGCAGGCGTTTGTACCCGACTGCTGGGGAAGGGAGAGCACAGAGAGATCACAGCACACTAGAGGGAGAGAAACACAGTGTGCTTTACAGTCATCTTTCGGCATCCGTTCTGGTCAGGTACCCGAGTGGATATGCAGAACTGTATGTTACAGTTAAACAGCATGATGAGGCCGTAGGGAATTCTTCCAAAATGGTTAAGCCAATTCCCCCTCCACTATAGTTAGTAATTCATACTAAAGAAATCAGACAATGTAATCATTATAGAAAGAGCATTTTAGCCATATTATTCCCTGGTCCATGTGTTTTTAACATAAGCACTGTATTGTAAATCAAAAACCTGTTATCCTTTACAAAGACATTTTGTTTCACTTTCATGTCACACCTAACTTTGAAGTCTACAGAGGCTGAACCAAAAGCTTGAGAAAGTTTCAAACTGCAGCACCGAGAAACCAGCAGCTAGCTAGCTGGCAGAATAATTCTGGGAATTGTGAGAAAGGCACTGATTTCAGTAAAGCTTGAGGAAATGCATTGAAGACTGTAGGGAACGACATTTGCAAAAGGCACTCACCTCTGGTAAAGAGTCAATGAAGGAGTGTATGTTGGCTGCTTTTGCAACTTCAGTGATCTCGTCTAAGGGTATCTTTTTGCTGTTATCGCCGTAGGCAATATTCTCGGCTATGCTGCAGTCAAACAGGACTGGCTCTTGGGACACGATCCCTATCTGGGACCTCAGCCACTGGATATTCAACTCTTTTGCACTTTGGCCATCTAGTTGCTAGAAAATAAAGAATTTAGAAGCGGGTAAAGGAATTCCATTAAGTATAAAACTTGGCCAACATTTCTGTGATTAAAAAAATGGAAATTATCAAGGTTTCCAAAAGGATTATCATCACTGTTCAAAGATAAATTGAAGAGAAGAAAAGCCACATATATTGCCTTGAACTCAGTTCAGGAAAGATAGAACAAGGACATAACAATAGATATAGAGTATGTAGAATAAAATCAACCATAACTGAATGGAGGAAGATTAATACTACTATTACTACTAATAATAGTGTCATCAAGTCAATTCTGACTTATGGTGACCCATTTCAGAGTTTTACAGGTAGATAAGTGGTTTATCATTGCCTTCATCTGAGACTATATAGTTTGCCCATGGCTGCAAAGGCTGGCTTTACTTGCAGGAGGCACCGTGGGTAATTGAACTTCCAACCTCTGGCTGTACAGCCAGATACCTAAATAACGGAGCTATCCAACTGGTGGGAGATTAAGGACAGAAAAAAGAAAAGGGAAAAAGACTTGTTCGTGCAAATCACAGTGAAGCTGGAATCTGTTGTCAAAAGGGTGAAGGGCCACCAACTTAGGAGGGTGATCAGATGGGCAAACAGCTCCCTATTTCAGTTGTGTCAAGGATAATATTCACAGTGAGGCAGAACAAGGCCTACGATAATCAGCAGCCATATTTTACAGGTGTGCAGAATGCTGAATCATGCAGTCTGGGATGATGCAATGTCCACACTGATTGGCTGTATGTAAATGTGTATGTGTATAACTGTGTGGACATGTGGAGAAGATGTTGGATCTCTTCTAATGAATGTGATGCTGTCATGCTGCCGGTTTGTACTGCTAAATTTCTGTATATAGTGTAAATAGACTTGGTGTCGGAAGAAGCTGTCTTTGTCTGTGTCATTCAACTGGACTGCCTGGACCGAAAAACTCTGCTAACTTACACCAACAAGTTCAATATGAAATAAGTTGAAGATTTGGGTCACTTTCCAGTGACTACATGGGTTTTCAGTAATATCAATTCATTTTGCCCCTTTTCCAAACTGTCCCGCTGCTTTCTGGAACAGGGCTAGGGTTGCAGGTTTATTTGGTGCAATTGGGGGCTCTCTTGGTGCTCTTCTTCTGCAGCCCATGCGGTTGGCTAATCCACTCCCAAATGGAGCTGCGTTCTCCGTGGTGACGACCCTGAGATGTAAGCAGTGGGGCTTGACCTCATTAACCCAGCACAATCTTTGATACATTGGAGGCACCCTTCAGTGCTGGTATTAAATCTGATGCAGCGCTGACTCATTGGGAGGAGTTTTTTAAAGGGGGGGGGAGAGGGTCACCATGGCCAGTGGGGGCATGAGTAAACCAAAAGGGGAGAAAACTGGAGCACCCTGAAGTGCTGTCTGGATCTTTCTCATGAGAGAAGAAACAGCTCCTGTGTGAATGAAAGGATTGCTCAAGAGTAAGGTAAAATAGATTGCACCAAAGATAAAAGAGCCTTTTAAGGAGAAACTCCAATGCATTGATGAAAACAAAATAAAGGGGAAATTGAGTTCTCTCTGTGTGTTTGTGTGTGATAGAGGGAGAAATAGAAAGTGAGTGAGTGAGAATCAAATTGCTGATTGAAAACTACTCTTTCGTTGTGTTGCTGATTATATCACATTATTAATTTAATTACTTGCAGTCAAATCAATTTGGCAACACATCCAGGGTTTTCTAGGTATGAAGTAGTTGGAAGTGGTTTAACAGACCATCTTTCTCATGGCACATGACCCCCCCCCCCAGGCGCTCTGCTCCCCAGTCTGCTGGGAAACACAGTGGGGATTAGAATTCTTGGGCCTTGGCTCCACAGCTTGCTGCTCAGACCCACTGAGCTATGCCAGTGGACTATACTGTACACCAGCTCAGTACAGCTCAATAAAATGCGTCGGTCTTGTGAAGAAAACCGAACTGACCCAAAACCAACAAACTTACCACTTCTCCATTTAGGGGATCGTAAAATCTTTCAAGCAACTGGACCACTGTACTTTTCCCACAGCCGCTGCTTCCCACAAGAGCCAGGGTCTGGCCCTTGTCAACTGCGACACTCAGGCCTCGGAGCACAGAGACGTCTGGCCGAGTGGGGTAGTTGAAGGCCACTTTCTTAAATGCTACATTGCCATTAAATCTCTCCTAGAATTAAGACAACAATTCAGGTTTTAGGGGAAAAAGCAGAATGATTGTGCAGAGAAACATAGGACTGCAAACAACACCTGTTTTTCATGAACAGAAAGACTTCCTTTTATGGAAGATGTACATCTCGACTTTCAGAGACATCAAATACTCCCCCAATACACCCCAGCTCAGCCAATTCAAAGAGATTCCTCCAGTCCTCTAGGGAGCATTTTCACTGTGCTGCCTGAAGGAGTTGCCATATAATGAGGGAGGCAGGGGGATCTACTTCCACCAGTCTAGCTGCATATACTTCAGTATGAATCCGAATCCAAATGTGTTGAAAATGCCACTAAGAGGGGACTGGGTTTCATCCTTGCAACTTCATCTGGTTGGAATTAGCCTGCCCAGCACACTCTCTTTCTGGATCTTTCTATAACTTCCAAGATTTTAAGAACTAGGCATCTGAGGCAGTTGGGGCTGAACATATCCCCAGCATGAAGGGTTGTCTTTTTCCCTCTCTTGGAACCTGATGGAAAATAATCAAATAGCTGTCAGGATAGCGACTAACCTTTACCCATCTAAGATGAAGACTGCTAGTCGATCTTAATTCAAGCGAAGCCTCCAACCAGCAGGCGGAACTTTTCGTATAGTCCGCGATCTATCTGGAGTTGGTCATAGTGACTGGCCTCCCATTAGCATCTCACCTGACCAATTTGCAGCCTTTTAAAAATCAAAAGCGGAGGCCATCCGCTGGAATCTTACCCCCTATTTGAAAACAGTGGATCGAGCAGAGACATCCAGCACTCTGTCTTGCCCGATGAGACTTAACCACTTTCAGCCTGTGATGCCAGACATGGTGGACAAAACGCTTGACCGCTGTCATGCCACCACCTCCTCCCTTGACCCTTGCCCGGCCTGGCTAATCAAAGCAGCCAGGCCTATAGCGTCTGAATGGGCTATGGCAATAATTAATGGGTCTCTCCAGGAGGGTAAGGTTTCCCTTGCCCTCAAGTTTAGGCCCATTAGGAAGAAACTGAACTTGGCGGTGAACGATATTGGTAATTATAGGCCCGTTGCCAATGTTTCTTTCCTCAGCAAGGTAGTTGAGAAGGTGGTGGCCGATCAGCTGCAGGCTTTTCTGTATGAAACCAATGCCCTGGATCCATTCCAGTCGGGCTTCAGGCCGTGCCACGGCACAGAAGCAGCATTGGTCGCCCTGTTTGATGACCTACTGAGGGAGGCCGACAGGGCAAAATGTCTCTGCTGGTCCTCCTCGATATCTCAGCCGCCTTTGATACCGTCAATCACGGTATTCTCATGGGGAGGCTCTCCGAGTTGGGAATCAGTGGCCTGGCTGTTGCCTGGCTCCATTCCTTCTTGGAGGGCCGTTCCTAGAAAGTGCAGATTGGAGAGAGTTTCTCAGCCCCATGGATCCTCAATTCTGGGGTTCTGCAGAGCTTGATTATCTCTCCAATACTATTTAACATCTATATGAGGCTGCTGGGAGGGGTCATCAGGGGATGTGGGGCTTCGTGTCATCAGTATGCTGATGATACTCAGCTCAACATCTTTTTTCCAACAACAGCGGATGCTGTTTCGTCCCTTGAGCACTGCTTGGGAGCTGTTCAGAAATGGAAACAGGAGAATGGACTGAGGCTGAACCCAGGCAAGTTTGAGGC